TATATATAAGGAAGTAAACATGCTATTCCTCTCTGAGATGGACTTTGAACAGATGTATTGAAACCCCACGGGTTAGGTTACCTGAGAACGAAATTTTGCCGGCACGACTTCCATAAGCTTTACAGATTTTTGAAAGTTAAAGTTGATACGGTTCAGTGTAGGCGTAGATTCGACCACCGCGAAATTATCTGGCCACTGTGACCATCGATCAACCATTGCTTAACCAAAAGTTTTCAGTTCTGGTGTAGGGTTCACACAAACACATACACTTGTTTGCAAGATGCCTAGAAACCAAAAGATCGATATCTCTGTCAGAAGGTAGATTTAACTAATCCCTGATACGGGTTATGTAGTGCCGCTCGACAGCACAAACCCAGAATACATCGTAAGTTTCCAAGTAAAGCCCAAAAGCATCCAAATCTGCCATAGTCTACGGAGAGTGAGAAACGATTGTAGGCTTTCATCGCCCACCCCCATCCATAGTACTTTTCTGTATGGATTTGAGCTTTCTGTGGGCAAGCGCCGCTTGTTTTGCTACTGACAAATCAAGCTAAACAGAGTGTCGCTCATGGTACATTTTATCCTCACCCAACGATTTCGAGCTATTCATCCTCAAAAATGCAACCCTAGATCTTCGGTTCCTGCTGAGAGGTTTCCCGTGTATCAGAGCTCGCTCATCGAAAAATGACCCTGTATAAAACCTGCCATCTTTGGGGCAGATAGGCAATACTTTTGTATGATTGCCGCGATGGAGTTATCCAGATGCTTGCATGAGATGTGCACAGATGATGGTTCCCAACAGGGATAAAACAGCAGTGCATAGATTGGCTTCACTGGTAGGATGAATCGAATAGCAACAATCAGTAAGCAGTTCAAGAGGAAGGATAATTTCACCGGATGTGTGACATTTCTTTGTCAGTAGTGGTCACTCGAAGAGCCAGCCAATAAGTGATCACGTGATGTGGTCTCCCTTACAAGAGGGTGGGTGGTGCTATGTCCTGTCTAATTGAAAGCTAATCGTGCTGCTGATTAGCCGCTCCTGGCCAGACGGCTACGTGTTCAGCCACTGGCCGGAAAATGTTGGGTTCAAAACACCGTGAGTTTCGTTAGATGCATACTGGTGTAACGGTGACACTACTGATGGGGAGGTATGCGAGTAGTATGTTTTCTTCTTGTAAATTCGCTTTGCGTTTCTCGAAAAGGGAGATCTGTTGCGGAATTTGTGGAGTCGCTTCGTAGCATTTGCTTGGATTTGAGCAATGAATGATTGGAGTCAGTGAATATCCAGGAAAGTTCGAGAAGACGCGTTCAGGAGAAGATGGATGTCCAGTTTTTGTAAATAAGATGCAAATGAGAGTTTCACTTCCCTGTCCAATAGTCTGTAACTGGTCAGTTGTCATTTTCTGATAAATAACTCCGCAGCAAAGTCCTTCTTCCTTTCACTGGTAATGATTCCCAACAAGGATGGTGCCTCTCCGCTTTCCAGCCTATATTGTTATCGCTGACACGGCGAAATCTGTACCGAGGAATTTCTAAATCTCCCCTGCAAGGGCCTTCGTTCATATGGGTGTCGCGTAAACACATTGCAGTTACTAGTCCGGCTAGACACCATAAGGTTCTTCGCGGAGAACAAATAGGACGTTCTGTGACAGAATATCTCATTAGGTCTGTGAATGACACTCCGTAGAATGGTTAGTTTGCCCAGGTTGAGCAGCGACTCAGCAAAAGATGCCCACACTTTGCACTTTTAGATGCATTCTAATGGATGAGTTTGTACACTTACGGTGGGTGTGTAGACTCTGTGTAGCTATTTGTTAGTTCTCAAGGTTACTTGCATGTAGCTATGGGAATCTTGCTATAAAAACACATGGTTATTTATTTTGTTGACGTAACACAGCACGTGGACAGTTGACTACCGGTTTTGCCTTTCTCGGCTTTCCAGAGTAGATTAGCTTTACTCCTTACTCCTCATCTTATTCGTCGGTCGCATTTGAATTTGAATTTGTAATGCATTCTTAACAATGCAAGATTCGCCTTACTGGTTTTAGCTCCCGAGGTGTCGTTTCATCGGAAAAATGGTCAGACGCAAAAGTGACGCACATGTTTTCATAAAGGAAACTACTCACAAGGTTGCTAAAAACTTTTCGACACCCCACGACCGGTTTCGCCCTTCCACTTGGGGCTCATCAGGTAGGCGCAGCCCCCGAGTTTCCGTCAACCTTATGTTCTACTTGAGTAGTTTCCTTTATGAAAATATACTACGATATTTCGAATATCGTGCCAACTGAAGCATGAGGCGGCCTGTGTGCAGCACATTCAGTTGTAGAATATCATAAACGATAGATTCAGTTGAGTCTCTCGTGGTTGAGTCTCTGTGGAAACCAAATTGATTTGCAAATGAGTGTATTTCTCGATAACGGGCATGTTGTTTATTGTGAGTTGGAAATAAAAACTTCAGTTTTTTGTATCCAGCTGGATTTTTTGGCCTGAAGAGGGTCTTATCATGCAAGAAATCGCTGGATTGGCGATAACTGACGGGAAGTTACCAAAGGGATTCTGGGATGGATGGCGGTTTTATGCGTTATACATAGGCGTCTGACATCTGTAATGAACCGAGCACAGTGGGGGAATCAAGAGGTTGCTTAGGGTTGGGGCGAGACGGACCTGAGACGTCTTCAGGTGTTCGACACAGTGGGGGAAGAGGTTGCTTAGGGTTGGGGCGAGACGGACCTGAGACGTCTTCAGGTGTTCGACAATCTTTGTCTCAGATCCATAGCTAGCTCGTGTTGGTGTCAGCGAATCCATAATGAGGCAGTTAGGCAGCGCGTTTTCGGTTGTGTAACGGGTACTTCCATTGAAGAATGTGTCCAGCACCAGAAGCTGCGTTCGTTGGGACATGTGTTACGTATGCCGAACCATCGTTTGCCGAAGAGAGTACTGTTTTCCATGCCCAATTCGGAGTGGCGTAAACAGAGAGGTG